TGCAAAACGGTATGTATAATAATCGTAAATTGTAAACGTATACGTAATCAACCAATATCAAGTTTAAACGAGAATTACGTATAAAATACGTTAATTATACTAATGTGTGTTGCCTGGGTCTAATGGAATCTGCAAATTCACTCGCCTATACAATATCGGCTATCGAACGCTTTCCGATACGCTTTGCATAAGGCATGTGAAGACTACAGAGAGTTAGCATTAGAACAAGCAGGAAACGAATATTATCAGTGTTACCAGTTTATACGGCCCAGTCAACGCTGATATTCGTTTTCTGCTTTCTCTAATGCTAACTCTCTGTAGTTTTCACATGTACTTGTGAAAAGCGTATTGGAAAACTTATGTATGGAAGTTGAGGGAGAACAAGAAGTCACAAAGACAGTAACGCTATCTACATATATATTAAATTATTTTTTTGCATCCAGATTTGTAGCCATAATTTTATTTATTCTGGGTTGTAATAAGGTTCAAACACACTTCTGTTTTTTTTTGCGTGTATGGGCCCTCAAACTGGGTTCGAAATAGATAATTGTTTTTGTTTTTTAGTTTTGCACTATGCACTCAACTGTATGCTATTAACAAATTAAATGACTCCGATCTGATCAAGACCTGTAAACGCAAAAAAAACAGGAATGTGTATGACTAATAACTCAAAATAAATAAAATTATGGCTATAACCCGGGTAATCGTTGGAAAAATTTAGTTTAATATACAGTCAGTCAGTTAACGCTATCCGAAAACTGCGCTTGTGCTCTTCTTCGTGTGCGAATTGGGGTGATGAGAGGTGGGAAGTGCAGCAAATGCCAACACAATAACCGACAATCATAAACTAACATTTGCCGCACTTCCTACCTCTGATTACCTCAATTCAGCCATGCATATGAAGAAGTGGGTAAAAGTGCAATTTTCGGATAGCGTTAACTGACTTTTACCGAGCCCTGTATATACCTCTCACATGTAACAATAAAAATACATCCCTAACAATGTGTACAAATTAATAATAACATGATGCTAGACATATTAAAAACAAAAATATTTTTAAAATAAAGATGATAATGATATCGATAAATAAAGAAACTTAAACCACAATATTTTTATTAAATATAATGCCTAAATCCCAACGAAACCACTAGCAAAATATTGATGTAGCCTCAGAAAGGAAGCACATTTTGTTCAAGTATTTTACATTAATAAGAGTAACAAAACCTACACAAAAACTCACCTTAAATGACTTTAGTTACAAGTTCGTAATTTGGCGAATGGACCTAGATGTCTAAAGTTATAAAAGCTCTTACAATTAGCATGTGTTTTTGTTATAATTTTGGAGTGCTGAATTATTTTGCTTGCTATACTAAACGAATTTCTAAAAATAACCTAGACCGAATAATAATAGTCAGCTGATTAAATTACCTCATCAAATGTCCTTCCAAAATAAAATTTGAAAAGTATTTTGTTGTAAACATAGATAAGCGACTTAGCGTAAGTATAGTTTTCAATTTATTGACCCAGAAACGGAGGCCCGATGAAAAGTTGGCACATAAACCTGTTATTTCATTTATAATATAGTTTATGAAGTATGAACTCAGGATTTTGATAGCACAGACAACCGAATTATACAATAGAATTGAGCTTGGAAATTTTTTTAATATCGGTACCACATTTCCATAATTTAAGTGAAATTAAGTATTATTATCCAGATTTTAAGCAAAATTAGTTGTTTAAAAAATGAAGAAAACTTTTTTTAATCAGCTCATATTCCTAAAAAACTAGTTTGAACCTTCATTATTAGCAGTGTTAACAAAACAAAGTTAAGCATTTTATTTCTGTTATCTTTCAAAGTTTACAGGAAAACCTTCACTTATGTAATATTGATTTATAATACAATGATTTAACAGTTTTGGTTTGTTGTTTAGAAATGTCATCAAATTAATTATCATAATTCAAACACCTTAAGCAATTAAGTATTCACATATTAAATGAGCTTATTTTTAACATTTGTCGTTTATATTCACCATTTTCTTTCAAGTAGAGGAATCGTCAAATTCAGAAGGCAAATAGGGTTTTAAAAAACAATAACTTGATTGTAATAAAATTCAAGACTCTTGGTCAATAGCCATTTGGTTGCATTTAACACCAATAAAGTACTTTCATTATTAATCAGTTTTTCAATTTAATTTGTTTAAAATACTTGAGAGAGAATATATTGTAATGGTTCCACCCAAGAAAGGTTAAACCATCCATTCCAATATTCAATGGGTTGTAGCTCCTCTGGCTTCCTACAAAAATAAAAAATAAATTATACCTAAATATGAATTTTGACTTATATGATATAAATAACAAAAATTTTCAGTCCTCTTCTTACTTCTCTATACTTCCAGTTCTTCTGCTTGGTCTCCTCTTACTGTTTTTCTTTACATTCTCCTCTCACTCTTACTCCTCCTTCAGTTAAACTATCCTTCATGCTATGTCTCCCAGCACCTTTTCTTTAATTGTTGCAATATAATAATTTCAATTACCTTTCTTTTTACATAATTTTTTCATTCTTCCTAATACATGACCTTTCTTTCAATATAATGTAAATTAATCTCTCTTATCTTGACAAGCTAAAACCTAATCTTCACAAAATCTTCACAAAAACAAATTCAAATAAAAAATACCATCCCAACACCATCGGCGTCACATTCTGAAGGCCTTTCCAAATATCTTATCGACGCAAACGATATACAAACCGGAAAACTGGACATCAAAGGTCCAATAACGGAATCATGACAATATAATATAAAGAAGTAAACATCAACATCAAAATAGAAAAGCTGGTTTCTCCAAAACGTAAAATGACACCTTAGTTTTTCAGTTTATAATTTTGTTTTCGTAAATAAACTTAATTTAAATTATTTGTTTTGTATTTCTAATTAGTTCTCAAGGCTAACAAGCAAGAACACTTTTGAAATTATATAATACAAAATGATAACCTTAAAATTCACTTTGATGATGCATGTTTATCACACAAATTCCTTTGTTCATTCATCATTCTTTTTCTAAAGATAAATAAATTGTTATGTATTTGCTGCTTGTAATAATTTTTATTTCTAATATAATCTTAGTAACGAATTTAATATTTCTCAAATTATTAAGACACTATAATTTGAAGCCATAAAACTTTCTCTTAAAAGTCCGTTTACGATTTAATGATCAACGCCTCCAAAAAACAATAATCATATTCAATACCAATTTATCATCTGGCAACTGGAAAGTTTACTATTACACAATGTTTATCCGATCATTTTGAAATTAGAAATAAAATAGAAGGAAGAGATTCATAAGTAAATGTCAGTAATCATAAATATACGAGGGACACTGCTAAGTTCGCGACAAATATTCCCTTTTAAAATCTATACACTTTTATATCCAATAAAACTAATCTTCAAAACACTTTTTCTACTCTAAGCAAGGTACTTTCAAAACAAGTGATTTAAATACTTCAACGGCATCTTCAGGCGATGAAAACGCACGCCACGCATTTTATTTTTAATGTGTCTGAATAAGAAGTCATTGGGCGATAAATCAGGCGAATATGGTCAACGAGTTATAAGTAGTTCGTCCAGTTGTGTGAGCGCTTACAGTATCATAAAATGTTTCGTTGGTGTACGTCGTTTCTTCTAATTTCAAACAAATTGAAGTACGAAATTTGACAATTAAATCACGAATTTTCCATTGTTGAAAGCAGTTCTGAAAGTCTGCTTATGTCAGCTTATTGAGAACCTCCGTCGCTTTTGCTATTACAGTCAAATGTGTCCTCTTAAAATCCTATTTGACTTATGCCATATTTTGCAAAGAACGCCTTCACAGACAAGGCGGAGTGGGCGCATCCAGGACTTTCTCTTTCGCAAATCGGGCTTTCGTCTCCTCACTCCTTCACGAAATACAGAACCTCGACGTAATAATGTTCAGGCTTATCAAAAACCGTCATTATGGCTTGAATTTTGATTGGCTCATTTTCGCTTTTTATGCTGTGGAGTTTGAGCTCTTTCAATGCATCGATTGGCGCTTTGCTTCTGGAATAATCACTTTAGATCAGGGGTCTCCAAACTTTCCAGCCTTAGGATCATACCGATTACTCCAGTAAGTTCCAAGGGTCAATACCGTTTTAATTTTTCTGCATTGTTACCACCGTGGCAATTGACGAAATCTGGTGATCAAAAGGGGAAATAGGTGGTAGTAGTAGTACTTAATTTTTTTCGTCATTTTGAAACTTAAATATCATGACAGAGAGTGCCCAAATTGTAAAATTTTATAAGAAACCCTCCTTTAAATGGATGGCAGAAAACCCTGTTAAAATATAGAACATTTATTACGGAACACCCGGTATAATACTACCAGGCTTAAGAATCAGTTATACATTTTATTTTTATTCAACAAAAATGTATGTTTAGAAACTTGCTCTGTAAGTATGTTACTTAACGAATATAAATTATGTTCTTACTTGTTTTATTGTAACATCAATGGGCAATTATTACTGTTTTTCGTAATAAAATGTCTGACAGGTTTTTTATTTTAAGATAATTATTTATAAAACGATTAATAATCATAATTAAAACATTCACATGGCATAAGGCAACAGAAAACACATGGCAGGATCTCAAATCTTTAAAATCACTTTCCTGCAAATTGTACAATTCTTGATTAACCGTCTGTTTCTCCTGTACCCTTCATATTAGTATTCTCAACATATTTTTTTGTAATTATAGAAAAAAAAATAAGATAAAAACAATTTCTCAGTAAACAAATGCTAGTCCGTAATAATGTATAAATAAGTGTTTCCTGAAAACTTCAAACATTATGAATATAATAATTGCACAAGAAACTTTAGCAGTATCCTCGTACATTTGAATAAAAGATGGCCAGTCACAGTAAACAGACTTTTAAATGATACGATTCTTTTATTTACTTATAATTATTTATTTATTTGTTTTTTGTTTCAGAAAACACCATTTGCCAGCACAAACGAAAAAAGTGAACTGGGTAAATTTTATAGAGAATGGCAAACAGCACCTCCGCTTCAAACATTCGTAGATGAAATGTCGCCTTTGGATGAACTGGACGTCACTAAACAGTTGGAAACGTTTGAGTCTGATTTAAATGAATTTGATAATGTTGTACAGTCGCTATGCCAGTCGGCGATTAACTAATATTTGGTTTATTTTTAAAAAAACTATTTATACTTTATAATAAAGCTTATTTATCATGTTAATTCGTTCCGTTTTTTTTTTCAAACGTAAGTTGTGTAATAGAACATTTATTGACAAAAATGAATGGTTTGAAATTTCACAATACACTCATCATGATCCAGCTATTTGAGTCTACTGTCGAAAATAGGCCTTCTCCCAAAACATTTTTGAAATCATTCTCTAATGAGTAATGTGGCTTCCTGTATTTCCTTCGTCTTATCTTGGCTTTCATTAGTCTACGGTTATAGTGAATATTTCCGAATACGCACCAATAAATCAAAACCAGTCGCGGCTTGTATGTAAGAGCTGTAGGACTACAGCCTCCCACCAATTTATATAAAATGTAAATGTTTTACCTACGCGTTTAATTAAAAAAAGTCAACCTCTATAACTTTCATACGGCTCCTTTGTTTTACTTTTGTTCCAATCAATCTTACAATCTGTCCCGACGTTCATACTTTCCGCCAGCTAACGTTGCTGGCTGGCAGGGCTAAAAGTTGCAGCGGCTTCAATTACCGTAATTAAGCTGTCAACACGGTCGACGTCGCTCGCGCTCCTAGGTCTCCGATAGGAAATTCTTATAAGCAAACGGGCTACGAAAATGTCCGCCTTGCTCCGATGTTTATTGCCAGATAGAAATCAAGATAAATTAAGTTCCTCTCAAAAGTAGCCCTCCGTAGACTAGGCCACGAGCCGCCACTGATCAAAATAATAGAATATTGTGTTTAAAGTTATAACAAGCCGTTGCAAAAAATTGTAATTGGAATTGACTGTGAAATTTAAATGTTTTGGGTTAGTTCTTTAGTCACTTCCACAGAATGACATTTTAACTTTGAAATTAAATGTGTCAAATTTGACAAAAGTTTTACTAAGAAATTTAAATTCAAAAAATGGTATTTGACTCTGCAAAAAGCAAAAATTATCTTTCATACAGGTGTGAAAGTAAATGGTGAGTGACAGTATTCCAGAAAGCATGACTTATTTTCTTGAAGATTAGCGTTTTACAATGTATTGACAAAATCTGTGTGCAGTTATTCAGAGACTGGTAGCGACGGTCAAAAAACAGGAGTGGGCGGCCGTCTAAACGTACAGCTGAAAATACAGTATGTCCCACTATAAAGTAACATTATAATAGCTTATAACTCTAGAATTAAAAAAGATATCAACGTGCAGTTTTCGCTAAAATTATATTTTATTCAAGTTTTTGATGACAAATGTATATTTTGTCCAAAATTTCGAAAAAAAAAATAATTTTTTAACAAAGAACCAAACATAACTTCATAAAACATTAAAACAGAAAAAGTAATTATACTTAATAAATAAGTTGTTGTATGTGATCTGCATCGCAACATAATCTCAGCAAAAAATTACCGAAGGTATTTTGCAGCATTTCTGGTGTTATGGTATTCAAAAACTTAAAGATTTATAGGGGTTATAGCATCTCTCCTTAACATAACCCCATATGAATAAGGCTGGTATGGTTAAGTCCGGGAATACAAGCCTGGTATGGTTAAGTCCGGGAATACGAGGCCCACTCGATGGGTCCAGATTACCGAAATGTACGATAATGAATGTGGAGCAACTAAAGAGTAATGTGTGTTGAAAATATACACTGCGGATTTCAAGTGTTTCATGTTATTGATTTATGTGACACTGTCAATTATTTTCGGGTTAAACCACAGCATAAAGAAGGACCAGAAGGCGTTCTTGATAGAAATCCTTTGATCTTAAGTGGGGTTTTGTTCGCTTTGATAGCAATTCTGGTGCATACGCACCTTAGACTAGGTAAATAAAGATAGGACGCGTAACAAGTATTCTGTGCCGATAATCGATTGGCCGCAAAAATTTTGGTGCTAAGCATTTCAGCACCATAGCTTTTTACTCGCGTTTATTTGTGATTTTTGAATTAAACATTTGATAATTAGTTTGTTAGAATGGTTTATTGTGTTGCATATGCGTGTAAAAGTCGTAGCGACAAGAAAGAACCAGATTTTACGTTTCAGAGGTAAATAATAAACACCAATCATTTATACTTGATACGTTTTCTTACTTATTTTATTTGATTATACAACTTGACATTAATATATGAGGAGCTGGCGGGAAGAACGATGAATGTGTATAAACTCTGAAATGGATAAAATTGAATTTTTAACTGTCCAGCACTGTCGCATAAAAAGTGTAAATGCAATCTTAGCTTAGTACTTACAGCAATGTAGTATCATGTTTAAATATTTAACAAGTGTAGTGTAGTACACAAAAAAATTATTTTGCTTTTGATTTTTTCTTATACTATTTTAGGCGGAAAGAATGATGAATGTGCATAAAATTTGAACTGAAGAAAACCGAATTTTTAAATTTAGGTCACTGTCTCTTGGAAAGAGTAAAAAATATATTCTGAACTTAGTATTTACGGTCTCATGTTTCAGTAATCAACAAGAATAGGCACAAAGTTTTTTTTTTATTTAAATCAGTGACAAAAATGTTTATGATACATTTTTGGAAATTATTGAAATATGACAGGTTATCATACAGCTTCTTGTTTTTACATTTTAGTATTGGTAGAGGTATTAATACGTGTTGGCTTTTCTACAGAGACGGCCATTGGTTTCAGTACAAAGTCACGCTCATCTATATTCCATCAAACGCCAGATACGCTCATCGTTTTTCCTACAACTGAAGAATATATTTTTATTTTTTAGCTATATGGTAATCCTTATCAACATTCCCACAAATGTTTACTAGGCGTAATAGTACAATACAAATACCTACAGATTGCGCCATGTATCTCGATTTGCGTAAATTTTGCATCCTCGTCGTTTTACCCGCCAGCTCCTCATATTGTACATGTCTCAGTCCAATAAATGTTACCGGCGAAGTTTATTTAATAGATCTTTTCCTTTGCATCAAAAGTGTAGCACTGAGCTATATGCCACTTCTGAAAATATTGTTACATTTATACAAATTTTATGGATGGAACGATATTTTCAGAAGTTGTGTAACTTAGTGTTACACTTTCGATGCAAGGGAATAGACCTTATATGTTTCATTCATTCATATTCAAGTATTTAAATTATATTAAAATTGCCAAACAGGCAACTTTTTCCAGTGACCTGTCGTACAATTCTAAATATTAACTTTTATTAATTTCTAATTTACTTTTGACATTTGTCTTTTGCTTTTTAAACGCTTTTTATTTAATTGTAGCAATGTTTTATTTGTTGTTTTATATGAGATTTTTACAAAAGTGCGAGAAAATGACGAATCTCTATCGGCACACTTATATTTTTACTTGGAGAGCACCTGCTGGTACTTTTTATTCTGTAGTTAAACCTCAATTCCACTACAGATGTTGTTATATTCTAGTTACAGGTGTCCGTCAATTTTTTTTTTAATTTTCATATCTGAAAAAGCCGAAGATGATAGAGACAAAAAAATTGTAATTAAATTAAATAAACAAATTATTTTAGATAATTAAAACTTAATAATGTAATCCACCCAAGCGAAACCGCAGTCAAAACAATAATTAAATTACGCAGTAGAGATCGCATTTATTTTTTACAATGGACACAGGAGTAAATTATTTATATTTAGGTACTTTACACAGGACAATGAATAATGGACACAAGGGTTTATTTATATTTGGCGACAGAGTTTGGGTTTTTATTCATTCTTTTTCAGTGTTTGGAGTTGTATGTTAGTGTATCTTTCTAAAATGAGTTTCAGAAAAGTACACCTTTTGTAAAAGCATAGAATTAAAAAGTGGTGAAGTATTGTGGTGGTGTATCCAAAAGAATTCTAACTGCTTAGCCAAAGTGGTGATTGTCAGTCTGACCACGAGATAACAGAGATATAGTCATTCATTGATAAAATATAATATTCACGATGCCAAGATTAAGTCGACAATCATAACACTCTATTTAAGAAGTCCGCAGTGATAAGTGGAAAGGTAAGAAGTAAGAGTGGGAAAAAGGAAAAGCTGAAGAAAACTTAACAGAAAAACCTGCTAAGATTATTCGACGACCTGTTATTACAAATTTTTCAAATGATTTGACAATCTCGGACGTTGAGATTGTTAGAAAAAAATATTTACAACTCTCGCTGGAAAGTGCTACAAAAGTTCTTTACCAAAAAATCTTACAGAAGTTTATTGTTTAGTGAATGTTTATTCTCCTACAACAAACACAAGTGAAAAAAATATTTCAAAACTGTATCATATTATTCCTGTAATAGCAATAAGTAATTTCTAGGTTTTAATTTAAATAATATATGTTGTACTATATGTAATATTATATGCGGTGGTTAAAAAATTTCTCGAAACAATTTTGTTTAAGCGTTTTTACTATCCATCATAAATTATTGTTTGGGACGAAAATACCTATAATAAAAACAAGATACTTGAATCCCTAGCCGAAAGTTTCTGTCAAAATCTAATCGCTCTCTGGTCGGGGCCGAATATTATTCCTACGCTCCAGATCAGAGCACTGACAAATCGTGGCGAGAGTTGGTAAAGCGACACAAAAGAGGTCCATGATAATTTGGGCTCCTACTAGTCAACGTAAGTTAATAAGCAATAATTTCAAATAACACAATTAAAAATATTTTATTAAAAGTATTATTTTACAGATTACGAAAATATATAAAATTTTACATTGATCCATAAAAAAGAATCTCAAACAATATGGATTATTTGGTAAAGTTTAATCATGTTATATAATGGTAAACCTACCTACGAATGTAATTGATACTCTTGTCCCTTTTATGGCTCCGCATCTCATAGGCGCTCTAAAATGAGTATTTTTTTTTTGTCGCGTGAATAATGCTCCGATGTCCGTGTAGTTGGCGGCCAATGATAGAACATACGAAAATACGGCCGATTTGTACATACTTACGAGAGTATCGGTTCTTGATGTTCTAAAAACTCCAAACGTAAAATGTTTTATAATATACTGCAATGTTATACCGTGATAACCAACCTCAGGAGTGCGTTTAGAAACCCCGTACGGCGCGTCTGACCACATGCATT